GCGCCCTCGGGCATCAACACGTCACGAAGGCCACGCAGCTCGTGAAGGCCGCTGTGATCCAAACCCCAGCTGGAAAAAGGGGGAGGAGAGACACGCGGGGCGGGGGGGAGGGGGGAAAAGAGTAAAACCGACACGTAGCGCGCAGCGAAACACACGTGGGGTGGGGGGTTTACGGGTGTCCGTACATTGCCTCTTCCCCCACCCTTCCCCCCCCAAATGCAACCACATTCAGCTCAACCGCTTCAACCAATCCCCGAACCGCAATAAAAGCCCCTCCCTTCCTCACCCCCCTCTCTCCTCATCGCCCTCCCCCGCTTCACATCACCCCAACCCCCCGGTCGGTCCCCCGGTCGGTCCCCCGGGCCAAGCTGTGTTTTTCCCAACCCCCTCCCTCCTGCTGAATCCCGGGTGCACCACTGAATCCTCACGTCCGTCGATCGGCGCATTTTTTGTAGCCGTGGTACGACGCCTTCCCAGCAAAACACCCTTTCCCCCCCCTCTCCCCACCTCCCTTCAGTAAGTATCCACATGTTCTCACCGCAAGGCCTGCTTGATGCCGTCCAGGGTGGGACGGATGAACCAGGCGGTTACGGGATCCTGTACGGGATTGCCCGTACTGTGGTACGACACGTCCAGGTGACGCAACGCCGGCGTCTCGTGCTGCGCGGGGTGGGGGGGTTATTAAGATGTACGGATAGATGGGTTTGTGGGTAAGGGTAGAGATAGGGGGAGAGGGGGAGAGTGATCGGCCGCCATGACAGGAGTCGTTTACAGGATTATGAAGGGACTCAATGCCTGCCTAACATGTACGACACGTACGACGTGTCCGTCGTATGATGTGTCTATGTCGTACAGCACGCATTTCCCTCTTACCGGCAAGCCCCCCGCCTCCGCCGCCACCGCCGCCAGCTCCCTCCGCGCCCTGCCCCCGCTGCTGTAAATGGCTGCGACCAGGTCGGCCGGGTATCTCGCCTCGTACGCCTGGTAGAGCTGGGCGAACACGTGTCGATAACCCAGATCTGTCAGGTCCGCGGGGGGAGACTGGGGGGAGGGGGGGGGGAGGGGGGAAGACGAACCACAAACGAGTGAAGCTGCTGCCAGGGGGGAGGGGGAAGGACTGACGAATGGGGAATCCTATTTAGGAAACACAGCCGAAAAGGAGGGAAGGCGAACCACGAACCAATGGGGATTTATGCAAGAAGAGGTGAAGGGGATATATATACATGCAAACGTCAATGTAACAATCGCCAACGTCTCAAGCATCTCCGGGGGTGGAGAAGAGGGAAAGCGTCAACGGGTTATGAAAGAGTCGTACAAGTAAATATCGACTGCATCATTTAAAATGCCGTTTTTTGTGTTTGGCAGGTCTAGGGGGGTGGGTGGGAAGCTGGGGAGAAATGAGACACACAAGTACGGATCCGTCAGGCCGTTCGCAGACAGAGACATACATACATACACACATACACGTCCTTCACACGCACCTGGTCCTCCAGCTGCACCAGCTCGCCTTCCTCGGGCATGTCAACCCAATGCCGTACACTACCTCTGTACGAAACCACCGCCCGCCATCCCGGCCAGCCAGTGACGCCGTCATGACTAATGCGGGCTCCAGGGTGGGACGATGGGACGAGCACAGGCGGGTTAGGGTCGTCGACGGGCACGGGGGTAAACGGGGGGAGGGCGGCGGGGGGAAAAGTGAGGACATAGATAAGACTGCGAAGATGAGCCTCAAAGCGATATGTACGGATATGTGCGGATATGTCCCTTCCTGTAATGCAATTTCAGATATCGATTATCATGACGATCGTGACCATTATCTTTTCGAAATCCGGCCCCGGCCCCGGCCCCCCCACCCCCCGCCTCCGCCCGGCTCCCCGACTCACAGGTAGTCGCATGTGAAAAACTGGATGCGCCAGGGGACAGCATCAGGACGGTAGTGACTGCTCGTCCAGTTGCGCTGCCGTAACCCCTCGTACAGCTGTACGATACTCATTTGCGGCATGGACCGCCAATCGGGCTCCACCTGCGTGTGTTTTCCGGAAGGCGCGGCGGATGAGCCCCCGTCTGTCTGTCTATCTGTCTGTCCGTCCGTAAATATGGCTCTTAGCCCGTCCAGCTATCCACTGTGCATGCTTTGGGGCATGTATGCAGCTGATGCTTTGTTTCGTGCATTATCGTCGTCATCATGATCACCATCACTATCGCATAATCCCACGCCAAACCCAAAACCCCCCACCCACCCCCTCCTCCCTCCTTCGTGGTTCGTCTTTCCCCCTCCTCCCCCCAGACCCCTCCTTGAAAAGCGCACCTCGGTTCTGTAGTCCCCCAACACAGATCGGGGAATGTATCGAAAGGCATGCGCCACACCGTCCGGGGTCGCCCCACGCACCGCCTCCACCGCCGCCTCATCAACCTCCTCCCCCTGCTGCTGCTGCTCCCCCAGTGCCCCCAGAGCCTGTCCCGCCTCCAGCCGCCGCCGCCGCACCTCCGCCTGCTGCTGCGAAGCCCTCAGACTCAGGTCCACCGGCTGATCTGTTAGCCGCTCCACATGCTCCAGAACCAGGTCATCTAGGCGGGGACCCGTGGTTTCGGAGGAGGAGGCCAGGCGCTCCAAATCCTGAAAGGAAACGAAGCGAGACGCGAGGAATGAGAATGATTAAAAAGAAATAAAACGAAAAAAGAAATAAAACGAAAAAAGAAATAAAACGGAGGTGATGTGCCAAATGGTCGTCACGGGGATGAAGGGAAACTAGGGAATGGGAGGAAGCGAGAATAGATGTTGATGCGCGGGCTGGGAAGTTGGTGGTGGCGGAAAGGGTGGAATGGGACTTTTTTTCCTTACATCGCGCAATGAAAGATTGTTGTGAATCTTTCAGTGCAAGTAGCGTCCCCTTTCTTTCGGACGCTTGGTTGATTTCTCCCCTTTTCCCCCCCCCAACTTCCCCCCCACCTATTTCCCACCCCCCCCACCCACCCACACCCACACACACGGTCTCTCCCCCCTTTCACCTGCTGCGTGAACTTGGGGTGGGGTCGAGGAAGGTCCACCGGGCGACCGGCGGACATAGCCTGAGGGAAACAAGTACGACATAGTACGACATAGTACGGCGGGTGAAAACTTAACGAGCATGGGAGGTAGCGAAAAGGGCGTGGCATTGCGTTTCCATGACGGATCGCGAGAGCTGGGAGGTGGTGGCGGGGGCCGGGGGGCAAGGGGAAGGGGAGAAGCCGGAATGTCAGAGAGAGAAACCGGAGGTGTCCGTGTGTTTTGTTCGTACTGGATACGTCCGGCGGGGTCCACCAGCAACAGCACCCCAGCCTCTCCCAATCCCCCCCCCCCAAACCCCGGGTCCGGCTCCGGTTGTTTCCTGTCCCTCCCTCCCTCGCCCCTCCCCTTCCTCCCCCCCACACACCCCTCTCTCCCCTCCCCCGACTTTTCCAGAGCCTAGCATGACCCAACCAACCAACCAACCAACAAGAGAGCCAGCAACAGAATGTAATGAGACCGGGAGGGGCGCGGGAGGGCCATGTCCGATCTGCCCGCTTGGCGGGAAATCCAGCCATGCTCGTCCCATCACCCGGTCCCAACCACCAACCACCAACCCTTCCACCACTCCCTGCACACACCCCTCTTCAGGCCGCCAGCCCTCGGGTACTCACCAACCTTACAGAGTCCCCTTACATGTTAGAGTAAGGTTCCACATACATACATACATACATGCATACATACACGCGGCTCTCCGCCGTATCCTCTTACGGTCTTGCGTGCAATAACATGCAAACGCATATATATATAATATATATATTATATATATATATATATAATATATATATAATATATATATATAATATATATATATAATATATATATATTATATTGTATTCACATTACATATGAAAGTATACATAGGTACTTCTACATAACACACAATTACAAAAAATGTAGATAATGTAGATAATGTACAAGTTAACCCCCACAGCCGCACCTTGAGCGCATTCCAGTACTGATCGGGCCATTCGGGCTGTGGGGCAGCGGGGCAAGTCGGGATGGGGAAGGGCGGGCAAAGGCAAATGGAGGGAGAGGCGGAGGGCGGAGTGGTCATATGAACCACCGGCAAGGGCGCGTTGAGGGAGCCAAAGCGAGATGGTGGTGGTGGTGGTGATGCCGGGTGTGTGTGTATGTGTAGGAGGTGTGCTGGGGTGTTTAGTTAGGTGTGTCGGTGTGTATGTATGTATGTATGTATGTATGTATGTATGTATGTATGTATGTATGTATGTATGTATGTATGTGTGTATGTATGTGGTTCGGTCGAAGTGCCTCTCAAAGGGAAATGAGACGTGCGGGGGGCGGTGCGGGCGGACAACTGTCCAGGGAAGGAGCCCCGGGGGAAACCAGGGTCCGGGAGCTCCCGGGGTGGAGGGAGGGGTGGGTGGGGGTTTCAGGGCCCAACCTGCCAACGGGAGCAGCAGCAGCAGTAGCAGCAGACAACACCGTAGATACGCAGCGATGAATCACCGCTGATGAATCAAATGTGGCCAGCCAGTTACTGCTACTGCTACAGCTATGTAGCTACAGTTGGGAACACCAGCCGGGTCGGAGCTGGTGGCGGGGACTGGGTTTTGACACGCCACCACCGGGGGCCGACTATGCCCGTGGTGGCGGTCTACGCAGAGGTATAGGGGGGTAGGTGGGGCTGGTCAGCCATCCATTTAGTCCTTGTAGCGGTATATGATCTCTCTCTGCAGTACGACGCCGTACGTACCCCGTCAATTATCGGCAGTCCCGCACCCACGAGGTGCAGCTCCCGGGAGTCAGTGATGAAGCGCTCCGAAAACACGTTGCCGGGCTCCGAAACCACCCCGCTGGACCGGGATGCCACATCCAGACGATGGAAGTTTGATAGGAGGGCCGCATCCTCGTCCAGCTTAAAAGATTGCTGCGAAAGCGCGTGCTGTTGTTGCTGTTGTTGGTGCTGTGGGATATCGGTGCCAGCAGCAAGGCGGGAACCTTCTGCGGGTGAAGCTGCGGCAGCGAGGGCAATGTGGCCCGGCCGTCGCCGTCTCCCGAATTCGGCGTTCGTGGTGGCTGAACTGCACTTTTTGCCGACCAGGCGCCAAGTGCTGCTGCGGATGAGCGGCGGCCACGGCGCAGCAGGGTGCTGCGGCCGCTGCAACGAGCGCCCGATGGGCGACGGTGAAGTCCGCACCGTCGCAGCATCCACCTGACCAAGATTCATGATGTATCTAAGCTCCTTTACGTTCAAACCGTTCTTCAAAAGCCTGTCTTTCCCTCGGCAATCCCTCCCTAGAATTGCGAGACCTCAATACGGCGGCGTGTGAGTTAAAATCCTGCCCGCCCAAACCCGGCGCATTTTATGCGTTAGTATGCCACCATTAATTGATGAGCAATTGAAGGAGAAAACGAAGGTCGGAATTCAGTAATTGTCGCATATGCCCCTTGGCATAAAAGCACAGTCCTAGACCCCCTGATCGCAGAGCGGAATTACCGATAATAAGAATGAGGCCTAGAGAAGGACCTCTCGCGGAGAAGCCTGCTCCGCAACCGGTACGGCGCGAGCGACTTCAGTGCTAACGGTACCTGCTAACGGTACCTTCAATTTACAGTTGCAGACCATCTGCATTATTCATATAGTTGTCTAAAAACTTGTAACCTTCATGTGCAACCATTTCTAGATGGGGCTTCCGCAGGAGCAATATATTTTGCCCTTGACTGTCTCGATCCTTTTCATGGTGGCTGTCGGATGAATGGGCGGAATCGGTTAGCCTTCAGACCGGGATAAAAAACACGGAGAACGTGTAAAATCATCATCATAAAGACCATCATACTAGCAGACCGACGGTGAATTGAACGACCAACCAAAATTAACATCTGTCATAACATATTGAACAGACGCAAAAGCTTCTGCTTTGCGTTCTGTACTGATGACTGTAAGGGACAGAGGTCCTTGGACCTGCCCCGTATTGGTTGTTGAGCCAGTCCTGTCGTCCGACATCCAGCGAGTGACTGGGAGGTATTGGGGCTTCGTGTTTCATGATAATTGTGTATATTCCACAACCCCTTCTAATCCACGGTGGTAGGGGGACGGATACTTAAGAGGAAAGAGGAAACAAAAATCCCAAAGCCTTATCTTCAAGGAGGGTTGAGGGAGCGAGGTGCGATGAAAAAGGGCGAGTAACACGCCGTTTAGTTTGCGATGCAGCAATCCACCTAGGGGATCTCTCCTCAGGGAGGGGAGCCCCTCTGTGTTTTTTTTGGCCCTGTCAGGGCCGTGGCATGGGTATTAGCGGCACTTTTCGGCATATACCCTACACAGTGCATGGAGCACCAGTGATTCGTTGCCATCCAATGAGTTATTTTCCTATTTGCATTTGAGTGCGCCTCCTTGTCAGTGGGAAGGAGATACAAAAGCGGGTTTTTGGTAAGGACGTGGGGTAACCTGGGGTAACGCATTCACGAAAAAAAGGATGTGGCAAGGAGTGCGGGGAATGGTCAAGGAGGCCCCGTCACGTCATTTGTTTTCGTCTTGGTAGTAGTGGAAATGACCATTAGGTCGTCCACGAATCGAATGGCGAATTGACCTTGTAACTGCCAGCGGTACAGGCTGTCTGGCTGGCCAGTCCCTCGAGTCAACATGAATAAGTATTCACTCAGCTGTCCGCTTTGCAAGGGTGCCGGTATCGTAGAAAAGGTGGGAGTGGGTGGTGCTAACATGGCCGGTACAAGGCCACGAGTCCGGGTCCGGCCCTTAAACCGCCGGCAGCGTCCAGGAGCCTGGTGGCCCGCCATGAGTCAGCCATTTCGTGTACCATGTTGTCGCGCTGCATATCGCAACGAGGCCGAGCACCTTGCGAATTGCCTTTCCAACGCCGCGGAAGCTCAGAAAGCAGCCGGAGGCGTAGGTAACCCGTTGTTTTGAGGCCATTGGGTTGCCAGGCTCCCCGTTCCCCTGGGTGTGGCTGAACCTGCTGATCCGACCCGTCCAAAAACACACATTGTGAGATATGTGCACCTGACTGTGCACATGGCCACAGTCCAATTGGTGGCGGAGTCGGACCCAGTTGAAGAGCCGGGCTCTTGAAGTTTTCTTTCCGGGCCATTGAGGGTAGGACTTTGTGGTCGCATTTCTGTTTCCTTTGGTGATTGTCTACTTTTGCCAAACATGGGCAAGGCGATGCATAGGAATCCCCATCCCAGCCAGCTGTTTGAAAGCCCGGGGCCGTAGTCAGGAATGGGGCGCATAGCAGTAGATGGCTAATAGGGCTGCCGGCGCTTGTCAAGCTACCACCTAACATAATCCTGGCCCCCGAGCACAGGATGGCCTCTACTTACAGCAGTGGGCAGCGACTCTGGGCGTTTGGTATTGTCCGGGCTGTAGTACGGCGATGGCCTTGGTACTGTCAGCTTGCAGTCAGATCCACTGTAACGCCATATAATAAATAGTCATTGTATGCAGGACAAATGGTCGATCACTTGTTTATAACGTGACAAATGTTGCAGATAAAATAAAGCGTCCACACATTTCAGCAGGTTGCAGATTTCCGGTACCCTGCCGTACGGCTGAGGAGCAGCACACCATTATTATCAAGCCCGTGCATACGCTTTCTCATCTGCATATTTGTTGCAGTGCGCACAGACTGTTTGTTGATTGCAATTGAAAGGTGTAAAGCTTACCTGTTGCGGTTCCGCGGTGCCAGTCCTCAGCTAAAGCGAATTGCTTCTCAAAGGCCATATCCCTTCTCAAAGGCCATATCCTAGCTCATACTTGCGAACCAACACTTTTTAACAACTTCACGGTCAGCGATGGCGGAGGTTATTTGCGGACTTTGCATGGAGGCTGTTGAACCCGACGATTTTTACAGGTAGCAGCTGCCGTGTACGCGAGACGCCAGCCCATTAGCAGAGCGCTTAAATCAAAGCTGTATAGGATGGTCCCTCTGTTTATGACTGCACTTTGCCCTGTGGCGTCGGAAGAACGGCGTCGGAAATCCTTTGGAAGGGCGCATCACATCGCCAAGTCCCTTGAGCATTTATAGCTGATGTAACTGGGGCTTGGTGTCAGAGACCGGAACGTGAACGCCATCGTGATGTGGCGTTGATGGCAGAGCACACAGCATGGCAGCACACGCGGGCGCATGAATGGTCTCGGTGTCATAGTGGATAGTTTGCTGCTGTGAGTGGAATTGTCTTCGTTCATAATTTTCCCATCATCTCGAACTGCGTGCCCCCGCTTGCGACATCTATTGCTAGGGAGCTGGACTGCAGTCGTAACTGCCAGGGGAACTGGTTTCACGAACAATGCATCGAACGCTACTTAAGGAAGCGCGGCCATGGGACTGGCCAAAAGGTAACACGGGTCCGGCGTGCGCAGTAGCACGTGGTATTCCAGCTTATCCGTGGAGACGGAACTCATGAATATGCAGCTGACCTCCTTTTTGGTGTGGCGCCTTGAAAGCAACCCCTCAAGTATCTTGCAGTACATCGCCGTCGGTATGTAGAACCTCCCAATTCCCGCGCAGACCGGCTTTGACTGCCCAGGAACACAACCCAATGGGAAGCCATGTCCTGGGACAGTAAAGAAGACGCATTCCAGGCTTCCCGCGAATACAAAGAAGAAAGAACTGAACAAGCAAGCAGCAATCACGGCAAACGTGATGCTCAATGCAGCGCGAGCTGCCCCTGCTCCAGTGCCGGCTGCTAAGCCGCCGAAGGTCACCAAGGTTATAGCCGCGCAACGTCCGCCGGTACCGGGGGTCATCATTCATCACCGTACAGCCCCTGGGCAAGCAGCCGCTACCAAATCAAGCAACGGAGAGGAAAGAGAGAGTTTCTTCGACGATTTTAATAATTTCCGACAAATAGGTGAGAAACGCGTCTGACCCAGATGGAATTTCGCTGCCTCTGCCTTAAGTATGGGGAATGGGAGACCATCGCATTTCATCCACCGAACGGAGATATTGCGCTCTGGACTAGGGTTATCGTCTTCGCCGATGCTTGCACCTTCTGCGTACGCTGTGGAAACAGTTTTTGCCTATTGACCGGCATTCATTCAGCGCGCACGGCTGATCACACCTAATTAAACCCCCCTCGTGCTCTCTGAGATTTTTACCGCTTTTTCAAACCTGCCGTACATGAAAGTCTAAAACAGCTTTCTCCGGCTGGTCGTACATGAGGTCTTATGATGGCTCTTTTTGGTGGTTTGTTCCGTACATCAGGCAAACGTGCTCCAAGACGCGGCGCGGATGAAAGTGACTCGCAAAGCGATGCCAGCGAACAGACCGCCCTCCCACGACGCCAGACGTAAGTGGTCTTATTGACACAGGTGTTTTGGCGTCACTAAGGGGGGCCCCAAACGACTGGGTGATGGAAAGAACGGCTCACACAATCCCAATAACTGAGATGCTGTGCCCGATCCTAATGTTCGGGTCGAGTATGTGCGTATGTGCCAGAAACTATACTGAAAGCTTTGCTGTCTTCTGTTCCTGTCTTCTGTTTTTCGCTCCTTCGCATGACCCGGTTTATTTTGCCAAATTGCTTAAAATTGGTCCTACCATAAAATATTGGAATCATCTTGCTCGTTTTGGCGAATCCCCACCGCAACGTGTGTCGTTTCCTCTGCGCACCGTGTTGATTCCTTCCCCTTCCCTTGGTGCAGCATAAGGGATTTCTTCACGCAGACCCAATCCCCTGGCGCCAAGAAGCCATCCGAGACCAAGGCCTGGAATGTCCCACCCGCTCCTAACCAAGCCGGCGCTGCATCAGCCGTGCCGAAGAACTTAACGATGGCTCCGGAGCCTGTGTCACGGCAGCGAGTTATTCCCGGCTGGACTGATACCGTGAAGGTACCCACCGGCGTGTCCAACCTGCAGCAGCAGCGCGCCCTTGTGGCAGAGCTGCGAGCCAAGGAGAAAATGACGTTGGCCAACCGTGCGACGGCAGGAACATCGACAGGCGGCTCACGAAAGGCTGTTGTTGGTGGGTCCAGATGTGGACCGCCATTACCCATTTTACATGTCATCAGTTTTGCATTTTGCATCGCAAAGGATTGCGGCACACGGGATGTGTGATGTAGGGGCGGGCGCTGCGGCAGGATGGGAGATGTATACTGCTGCGGGAGCAATGGACCTTAGTAAAGCTTTGCACCTTGCAGCGTGCATCCGTAACCCCTAAGGAGTTATTTCGGGCTTGGTTTCGGATACCCCCGGTCATGCTCTGGTTGTTTATCAGAAAATTGCAGCTGGAAGAAATCTTAATAATTCTCAGCTGTGTTCTAGATGATTATGAATGATTATGAAATGGAGTTTTATCTGCTAGCCCACGTAAGGGTCTACGGGACGCCTGCCAGTCTACCATCCTGGGAAATGAGCAAGTGCAAAGTCGGTACACCCCTCGATGCCCCTCCTTTCCCCTTGTCCCCCGCGACACATGTGCACCTTCCCTTCTCTGGCAGTCTTGCACGTATGCATTATCACCTCCCCGCTCATTCCATTTAAACCCAGTTCACGTTTTGACTCCCCATTTACGATTTTCCCTGGTACACTGAGCAGGCACGGACCAAACGGCAAAGGCACAGGAGGCTCTGACGGACACCGATGATGCCTCTGGCGCAGGCGCTTACGCCGACGTTCAGCCTGGGGACACTGCTGTAGGCATCAAAGACATTTCAGAGCGCGCGACTCCCACAACTTTAAAAAAGCAACAGCAGTGGCAGGAGGAACAGCGGCAGGAGGAACAGCAGCAGGAGCAGCAGCACCAGCGGCTGCTGCACCACAACTTGAGTTTTGGGAGTGAGGCGCAGTCGTCTGGACTATTGCAATCGGCGTCCTCGCTAACGGCTTCCCCCGGCTCTGCGGTGTCCACCTCCCCCACGACTCCGGGTCTACAGACCGAGGCCCAGGAGGCGGACCCCGCTGTCGATTACGACCTGCTCTACAAGGATGTCGACGAGGCTTACGTAGTGCTGGACAAGCAGACCGGCGGCTTTGCGCGTGTAGAGGATTTGTACGGACCGGATCCGGAGTATGCGGGCTTTCAGGATGAAGAGGGCAACGTGGCCTACTATGTCGTTGTGCGCAAATCGATGCAGCTGGCTCTGCAGCAGAAAGCACTTCAGAAGCAGCAACAGCAGCAGCAGGCACCGGTGCAACCTGGTCCGTTATGGGTACTGCATGATGCACCAAGCGCGGAGGAGAAGGCGGCGGTTGAAGCTCCTTCATACGGCGCCGTTTGGGGCGGGAAGGGTGATGTGGTAGCTGTCGGTGGAGGACTGGAATCAGGGGCAGCGGGTGTGACGTCGCAAGGAGAAGTCGATCAGGACGACGATTTTGAAGACCTGTTATCGCTGTGCCTGGCGTGATTGCGACGTGTGGCGTTTTTTCTTCTTTGTGTTGTGTTGTGTGTGCCACCAGGTGGACATCCTAAAAAATGGCTTTTTCATCAGGAGCCTGCTGCTGATGCTAAGGGTGCTCTCATCCACTGATTTCGCCAATTACTTGATATGCTCTCATCACCGCTTGGTTGCAATCTTCTTCGGTCAGGCAGTTAAAAGTTCAAATCGTATCGTAACCATTGCAAGGAAGGGTGTTGATGAGAGGAAGGAGCATTGCGATTGCGCCGGGGTAGAGAGGTTTGAACGGTGGGATGTACTGCGGGGCATGCGGACCACCAGGAGTTCCGTGGCGGCAATCATTCTGGCGGCGCCTTTCGGTGCGGTGCAGCGGCATGGACTTTTGGCGGAAAGGCTTGCACAGTCAACGGAAGATGCGTGTAAAAGGCCGTACCCCGGAGCTCAACCACTAATGCTTTGCATTCCACACAGGGAGAGCCCTAGGTTTTCCATGGATGCAAGCGGTAAAGCCGCCGCCGGTTGCTAGAAACAGGGAGCCAGAGGAGGGAGTGTGCAGTCGGCCAGGTCGCTACCAAAGAGGACACGGGATTTAGAAATGCATGGAACAAATTTTAGATGCATCTTTAAGGGTGTGGTCCCTTGTACAATCTCCGGTTTAGTTTTAGCTCCGCTCTGAGTTTTAGTTTTAGCAGTTGGAACTGTACGCATGTTGTCGAGTGGCAATCATGCTCCGGCGTCCTCTTAGCCTTTGCAATATGATGATAAGAATTACACTTGTAGTAAGGCCCACAAAGCTGGAGGTTCAGGGCGCATGAAAGGTAGCACGGGACCGCCATGTGGCTCTTGCGGGCAGGTGATCTCAGTTATTTTATGTACGAAAGAATGGTGTGCAGTCACAGTCTATTCACTTGTTTTCCAGCAATTCACAAACATCACCACGTCCATCGCAAGTAGTCTCTGGGCCCCTGACCACTTTGTTTCTTAAGTGCTTGCGTTATAACTTTTTACTGCTTGCCAGTATGAAGTCTTGGCTGGCGACAGCGGCAGACACTCTCCCACGATTATCTTCAAGACTGCCATCCTGGCCTGGCCGAACCCGCGTTCTGTCCTGTGCCTTTCAGCTCCAGTCAGCTTCTATGCCATCCGCAAGCCAACTGAGTTGTAATGCAACGAGCGCACACAGGAGTTCGCAGCCAGTGGGCCACCTCGGCCGGTGCGCCTCTCCCTCCCTGGACGCATCTCCTCCTCGGGCGTGGCTATGGATTGACACGGACTCGGGTGTTGATGACGCGCTGGCCGTCTCTCTGGCGCTGTCACACCCCAACGTGGAAGTGGCAGGCATATCTGTAGTTCGGGGCAACGTGGTGGGTGGATACCCCCGTACGGCAGGGTGCGTATCGTAATCCGAGAAGATACCGTGTACCGCCTGCCGGCCGAGCCTGCGGGCTTCCGTGACCTGTACACCCTAGAATCCCCCGTTTCCCTTGCCCCAGCCCCCTCTCTGCTTCGATTTAACTCTCTTCTTCTCTGACGCCCTTTCCAGCCCTTAACTGGTCCTCAAGCTGATCAAATTGAGCTGACCTGAGCTGTGCTGAGCTTTGCTATCCCGTATGATGTGTGGGACAGGGGGGTCATATCTTCACATCTTCACCTGCGGCCGCTACCCTGCCTTCCCCGGTATTTCGGGGCACCCTCATCTAGTCACCCTAGTCAACGTCTCAGTGGATCGCTCAGGTTCCGCACCCACCACCGGCATCCAACGGCGGCGGCGGCGGCTCAACTCCATTCCTGGTCAGCTCGCAGGTTAACTTTATCCCAGGTCACCACCGTCCATCGACTAGGGGCACTTTTACCTTAACCACCATCGGAAGGATTTTCGGCCCTGACAGGTCTCGATCCCGGAACCCGTGTGCCTGCTTTGCAGGGTGTGGCGCAGGGGCTGCTCAACATGGGCCGAGTGCTGCTCGCCGCCACCGCCGGGGCCTTCGGCTCCCCGTCGTTGCCGCCGTCGCCGTCGCCAGGGGGTGATGAGCCCCGCGTCAGCGCTTCCTGTGAAACCATCCCCAGCAGCCCGCTGCCGCCGCCGGCCTTTACCATAGGCGGCGTGTCGGTGTACGGCGGCGCGGATGAACCGCTGGCGTCGCCGCCGCAGCCGCTGACGTACTATTACGGCAGGTGCGCGATGGGGGAACAGGAAGGGGTGATGACGAGGTGGTTGGGATTAATGTGTTCTTGGGATTATTACCCTTCTCTTCAACATACGTCCTCCTCATCTCCTCCTCATCCTCCTCCAGCTCCACTTGTGGGTCCTTCGGATCCGTGACCTGCGTAGCCCACTGCCCGCCGCCCTCCCCGCCCCACATCCCTATCCGCCCGCCGCCCTCAACAAGAGATGGGCTCGGGGACGTGCCCCACCTGCCACCCACCGAGTCTGAGGTCCCGGCTAGGAGGTCCACAACGTCACCGGGCGCCGAAACCACCAACACCGCAACCCCCCCGGCGGCGGCTGCAGGCCCAGGTGCAGCGGCTGCAAGTGCACTTGTGGCTGCGGCTCGTGCTCGCCCCGGTCAGCTCGTGGTGGTGGCCCTGGGTGAGTCGCTGACTTATGGCCGGGTCGACTGGGTGGACTGGGCATGTTAGCTTTTTATGACCTTGGCTGGGCTGACTGACTGACGGACGGACGGACGGACGGACGGACGGACTCTCGGAACATTTTACGGCTGGTTGACTTACTGGCGGGCTGGCCGGGTGCGAGCGCGGGGTTATTCCTCACCCAATTCTCCGCCGCCGCCGCCGCCGCCCTTGCTTCCATCTCTATTCCCTCACGGCCCCCGTCACCCCCTCCATCGTACGGCGGATGCAGGGTTACTCCCTCCTTGACTTGATCCCTCCCACCCCGCTTTCCCCCCCAGGTCCCCTCACCAACCTGGCGGCGGCGCTCAGGTTGGATCCCGAGCTACCCTCCCTGGTGCGGGGCCTCATAGTGCTGGGGGGCGGGGAGGGAATGTACGGCGGTAACGTTACGCCGTACGCCGAGTTCAACTTCCACACGGTGAGATCAACTGGCAACCGACCACCGACTGACTGCCCAGAGGGGAGGGGCGGATGATAGGCACCGCGGGGCTCCAGGGTTGGGGTTGTGAAGGGGAACCGCGGGAGACAGGTTTAGGAGGGGGGGAGAGAAACCGCAGATTCGTGTCTAGAAGACTTTCACCCCAGTCCTGGTCCCGTTCACCTCGTCCTCAAGTCCCTCTCAATGCCTCAAGCTCCCCCCCCCGCCTTTTGGTCAGTTCTACATCTGGTACACTCTTGCCCTGGCAGCAGCTTCCCTCGTTCCTGGTTCGTCTTCCCCCACCTCCCCGTCCTCGCGAGCAGGACCCCGAGGCAGCGTCAGAGGTGATTCAGGCCTTTGGCGGGGCTCCGGACAACAACGGCGCGAGAAGCAGCAAAGCCGCCACGCCGCATGTCAACGCCAAGTCGACATGGCCTTCTTCATCGTCTCCATCTCGTTCTCCTCCTCCTCCTTCCTCCCCATTCGGAGTAGCCGGCAGTGACCCACGGGTCGCTCTAATCACCTGGCGGTGCTGTCAGAGGAACCTGCTGGCCTGGGAGGTGGTGGATGAACTGATAGCTGTGGCGACCACTGGGTGTACTGCTAGTGCTGCTGCTGCAGCAGCTATTGCGACGGCGGCGGTGGAGGAGGGGAAGGAGGACGTTGCAGCTGACAGGTTCGGCCTGCTAGGTCGCTTTCTGGCGGGTGCGTGCACCCCCGGGGGATGGGGTGGGGCTCTTCATGCCTAGAGCTGCGCCTGCTGCTCTTAGACGGTCGACGGTTTCCCGTGCAGGGAGCGCGCTGTTGTTGTGTTTTGGGTGGCCTACCCCCCGCCGCCACTAACCCGCTGTCGCAACTCTCCCCTCGTCAGGCATCCTGGCCCCCTTCCTGGACCGCTGGCGGAGGGAGTCCCCCCGGGGCCTACTGCTGGGGGACCCGCTGGCGGTGGCGGTGGTGACGGGCATGCAGCCGGGAAACAGCGGGTCACAAAATAAAAACACGAGCACGGAGCCAGTCCAGACTCCCGTCCCAATTTGGAATCTGCAGCACTGGAAATGCCAGCAGCATCAACAAGATCAGCAGCAGCGGAAAGAGAAGCAGAAGCTAAAGCAAAAGCAAGGGCAGCAGCTTCAAGCCCCGCCGTCGGCTTTGGTACCGGGCTCGGGGCGTAACGGAATTCCGGAGCCCGCGTTTACCCAGCTGGGGGAGCCTGTGAGCGGGGCTTGGGATGCGTACGACACGTGGGCGGACAGCGGATCGCCCTGGGGCAGTTTAGTTTTGGAGCATTACGTGGCGCCATGCCGGGTGGAACTCCAGGGTGGGTGCTGGTGCGTGGGTGTTTTGGGATTGGTGCGATGGATGTGTATTACCCAACGGGGAAAGGGAAGGAGGGGACCGGAACCGACCGGAGTTGCCTGCATGGTGATCTCCTTGGCCTCGATGGCTCTTGCTGTTGCTACAGCTACTGCCCTGTGGAGCATGGGCGACATTAACCGCTCGTGGGGTAGTGGGGGAGGGTGTGTAGCGTGTGCTCCTAACGCTGCTCTGAATTGGTGGGATGGGATGGGTCCGAGCTCTATGACGCTTTCCTTCCCATCCTCCTTCACCATTCCTCCTCGGCTTATAATGTTTTACCTCTATTCCTTCTCCCCCCACCTGTATAGGAGAGCGCCGTGGAGCGTGTGTGTTTGGAAACGACGTACTGGCCGGTGACGCCAACGGTGGTGTCACCGGCGATGGGCGGCATCAAAACCGGACAGGGGTCAGCTCCTTTTCGAGCTCAATGGTGGGTCTGAGTGGAGCTCACAGGCAGGACAGTGTACGGCTGTCGTAATCATAAAGACGGTCGTACGATTTTGCCAACTCGAAAGCCATCAACTATGTACGCGTCTCCTTTCACTTGCGCATGGGTGACGTTTTCCGTAGTTTCAAATCACGCTGGCGCACCTGGATCGGGGCCCAGCCCGCATCGGTGCCTCCCGCCTCCCTCGCTGCAGTGACCGCTGTTGGCATGTGTCCTGTCTCTCAGACGCCTCCTACACCGTTACCCGGGGTCGCCACAATGCAATGCAGGAGCAGCAGGGTGCCGGAGGGGAGGCGGAGTTGAGGGCCACACGCCAACCCTGGCGTAAGGAAGGAAGGGACGGCGAGGTATCTAGGAGCTGTTCCTCAGCCGGCTCGGCGCGGCTGGCTGTGGAAGTGGCTGTGGTGGTAGCCATGGATATGCGGGCGGTGGCGGAGGGGCTGATGCGGGCGATGTCGCCGGGCGGTAAGTCATGTTAGGAGCACGCGGGTACCAATGGATTGTGGTCTACGTGGAAGATATCCTCCTATCGGTTCCTGCTCCGGGGCTCGCTTGGAATGAATATCTTATTTCAGCGATAAGGAACACAACCTGTTGGATAGACGATTAAGCCATGGTTGCTTACAAGGTTGTAACGATGACGAGGCGCGGCAATGTCTACCAGCCCATTATGTAAGATACAGCTGGTGTGTAGAAGGTATGCAACAACACGCCCATATTCAACCCTAAGAAATTGACCTTCCACTGAATTACGCTCGTTGCGTGCGCTCCAGACTTTGCGGATTCGTGAGTTCGCACACCTATCATGGTTAGCAGCAGGGGCCGCGTGGCGTGGAACTGCCTAACACGCCTGCCCAAGGTACCGGGCAAGGCGAACGGGCAAGGTGATCTTACTAGCCAGTCACCAATCAACCTGACCTACTCGCCAGTCACCAATCAAGATGACGATCATTTGGACAATAAAGCTCGAGTCCTTGCGGCCGCTGCCAGGACAGTCAATCCGACATTTTGCCAAAAGGCTACACAAAAACAATCCTTTGTTTTCACAAACAAAAGTAATACCGCAATTTCCACCATGCACGACCCGCCCTTAAAACATCTTCGTTTGCAGCTACTTAAACGCAAAGCAGCTGCATGAGGCTATCGACATCCTCGGCCGCTGTATCGTCCACGGTGCCTGTCGGGGCATCCGCAACGTACCCTCTGCTGCCATGCGGATTGTTCGCGAAAGCCATCTTGCCATTCAACACGCCCTGCTCACGCGGCTGGGATGAAATAGACAACGGCGGCGACAGCCAGGTACCCAGATCCTGCGCATTCTCAATTGCGCCCGGCGCCGAGACCAGGCAAAGCGCTAGGAGGTCACCTAGGTCATCCGTCACCGGTTCCTTGTTCACGCTCTCACTGCTATCAAGCTCCAACGTAGCCGTCACCGAGGTCGAATCACCAACACCACCATGAAATACCGCAACCTTGGTCTCAGGCTCGTTCCCAAACACGTTGTTGGTAATACAAGCTGCCGACTTGACAACTCCGCCAGGCACCATCGAGTCCGCAGGTTGAGGTTGCGAGAGCTCCTGGTAGATGTTGTTATCGTCGTCATCCAGGGGATGCGCCAGCGCAGCAGCTGTCTCTGGCACATTAGAAACCGCGTAAAGCAAACCTTCATCACCGCCAGAAAGGCCATGAGCAGCTGCCACCGCTTGCATTTGCTTCCATACGGACTCTCGTACTAGCACATAGTATTTCATAACGCCGGTAGCCTCATCGAAGCCCTCCACAACCTCTGGGTTTGGGCCATACACATCTTCTACATACATGTAGCTTCCGTAGGCGTCCATGACGGCCCACTTCTCATCCACTGTTGGGCAGAGCTCGTGGTAATAAATGACCTGGTCGTCAACGGCAGGGGCTGCTGTGGATTCCAGAACGGTACCTTGAAGCTGCTCATTTACACTGACTTCAGCCACCTGAGCCTGTTGCTGATGCTGCTGTTGCACCTCCTCCTCGGCGCGTTGGCTCGGGTGCCGCTGCTTGGTATCGGTGATAAAAGGCGCCTCGACAGAGACTGCCAAAGCGCTGGTACTCCTTAAATTGGCCGAGCCAAGATCAGCAGCGTTCGACTTCGCCACCGTCGATTGCTGAGCAGCAGCTGGAGCCGGGAAACGAGCTGGTAGGGAGGCCGCTTGTATCTCAGGGAAATCCTCCTGGGTGAGAACAAAGGTCTGTGATTTCTCAGATAGATGTACGTCGTTGTCGTCTTTCGAGTCCAAGCCCTCTGCCTTAAACCTGCAATAAGAGTACGCGTGCGTGCGTGGGAAGAGATGAATATGATGATAACATAATGCAAGCTAACGAGGAAAACCCATGTAGGCTGGTAAACTTCCAGCAAAGGCAATCGCAAAGCCACAATAACGCCGACAATAATCAACTCCCATTCCTGATCTGTTGAGCGTATGTAACAAAGCGGATGCGCATCTGCGAAGGCCCTGGATGCGCATCTACACTGGATTAAGATCACACATCAACTTCTTTAACTACCAACTCCTTCGCAGCAGTAAGGATGAAAAGAGCTCCTATGGCGAGGCAAAGTGGATAGGTCTTGTCACATTACCCCACATTACCTTTTTTCCATGACAAACAAAGACATATCCGAATTTTCCGACGAAAAATCATCATAAACATTCAGACGGTATTTGGACAAATGTTGTGCATACACATCTGCAAAGCATCCGTTCAGCAAAAATGTTTTTGTTAGAATTTTGCAAAAAAAATCCACCTCGCACTCAAGGCAGGCCAAACTGTAATGACCTGCTGGCAGCCTCCTGTCGTGCGTTTGATCAGTAGCGTTGAAGGCGGAATGAAAGTGCAGCGGTCAGGTTAGGTATCCTACTGGCTGCCTGGCTTCCGTAAATTGCATCATGCGCGATACTAGGTCGCCACCCCTAATCTATCCTTTTCTTAACACATCTAAAGAAAATCGGCACCCATCCTATCTAGCTCGTTGATAAAGCACATCCTCGGCACAGAATATTTATCAGCTTGCCTCCTTGTCCTGAGCACCTTTCCTATGTTGAGTAATTTTCATTTGCCTGATCAATTATGAGGACATGAGTTGGTTATTTATGAGGACATGATTTTACTCAATAACTCAAATAATTTGCCACCGGATCAGGGATTTTAATCTAAGGAGCCTATCATCAAAATGGTAGGCCGCAAGCAGTAAAGGAATCCCGAGCTTAAAGGCCTAGGAAGTAGTAAAACTTTTAGTTATAGGGGTTGCTTATAAAAAATTTGTGGTTTTATAGTTATATCGGTCATAATAATAATAGCGTTTTGGGGACGAACTCCACACACCCACTTACTCCTAAAAATAATGTAATTCCGTAATCCCGATAGTTTCATGGAAGCTGTTATATATATGTGGAAGCAGTCGAAAGTAATAATAGTTGGCATCGGACGAAATCACCAACTATGAAAAAATTTGTCTGAATAGTTGGTGGGTAAATTTTGGGCTGCGGACTAATATTTGAAAGATACTGACAATGAAAAGGAGGAACAGTACTGGGAATCCAGTTTTGCTTCAAAACTTGAACCTTATTCTCTTTACGGATGTTCCATTGCTACCAAATATTTGGGCGAAAACGCTAGGAGAATTGATAATTCAGAAGAACCTTGACTTGCTGTAAATTAGCTGAATTTTACCTTTGAAGGGCAGCAACACCCACATTGAAAGTAAAGCATTTTCACAGAAGTATTCATTTGGATTCTGGCTTAATACTTCCCTTCGAAGCTTAAGAAGGGAAACGTATCCAAGTCAGTCCACAGGCACACTCACCTCCAAACTCTTTATTACTCTTTGCAGACATGACCTGCAGGCCGGCGCTGACATTGGTATTTGAGAACGATGCACCATTGCTTGACTGAAGCTTTGAGCCCCTACCCACAGCTGCCTTTGCTTCCGCCTGCAGAGCCGCAATCTTTGAGCGGTCGATCGTGGTCAACTTTTCCGGTCCGGTCCAACCAGGAATAACGCGCTGCCGTACTACCGAATCCGGCGGCATGGCGCTATCCTTGCTAACAGTCAACGGTGTGCCGTTCAGACGAGCAGCAGCGCCGCTGCCGGGGACCACCACGCTAACACAGCTGGCCGGCACTGCATTTGTCACTGCACAACACAACATAGTAGTAACAAAGGGGACGATAGGTCGTGGCTGCAGGACATTGACGCACATAACGTGCCAAATTAACAGCATTGTCATCATGAACTAACTGCTTGGTGTTAACGGAAATCCTCATTTTATGATGCGTGCAAACACAGCTGTCGACATACGCAGCTGGCCGGACAGGTTAAGGACAGGGAAAGTGTATTGCTGGATGCGCTTACCGGGCTTGATGGCCTTAAGCGGCACCGCTTGGCGCATTGGGGCCCCGCCGGCAGGTCGCATAGCTGCTGTAGCTGCGGCCACACCCGGCTTGGCCTCGGCTGGCCCAGCCTTAGCTGCGGCAGGTTTCACCTTGGCCGCGGCAGCCGCAGCTTCGACTCGCTTCTGCTTTTTCTTCAGATTGACAGGCTGACGATGATGTGTTCCAGTTATCCGGCCGCCACACCGACTGCCGTTGTCTAAAACTGAAGGACACTGATAGCCAATCTGCAGAGGGTCAGAGTGTAAACCCATAAATGGAATCAATGCTTATGTTTGGATAGTGATGAAGAGACTTTGCGGGCCAAGCCAGAAGACTACGATAGGGAACAAATGCAGTCCTTTGCCGGCTAACGCAACTGACGGGGCTAAGAGAGACCCACATACATCTGCACCCACCAACAAGTCCACCCGCGATTTCAGCGACCTCAGATACTTGGTAATGCATTCTTCGTGATACGCGTGTCCACTTGACGGGCAGGCAGCATATGAGCACGTAAGCTCTCTGAGGTGAAGGGTACGGTGCAGCATTTATTTCTGCTTCATCAAGATGAATGCAACCAAAAGAAAAGGATAATAGAAATTCACGAGGTTTAGCATTCGCTCTCGCCTCCGCCGGAGTTACCAGTGCGCAAACAGCAACATAAGCAAGGCAGATACACCATGAATTGACAATACTATACTCCACAAGCAAAGAAGCATACTGCTATTTTATGATTAATCCATGTTGCAGCTAAAGACATAGGCGTTACCTGCGATACTCATCATCCGTCACCCCCTCTGAACAAATGTGGCACGTTTGATTCTCAGCCATCGCTGCTGCCGATGAGGAATCCCACAGTCAAGGAAGGAAAACTCTTACTCGCTGTGAACTTACTGATGTTAAATTTCACTGAAAAAGGACATTGCTGTAAATTGCATATAAACAAGCTAATTGCATGACTTTCTATTCGTGAGGTCCAGCAACCAGGCCGCAGTACTACTCCTGCCGTATGGAGCTTGCCGTACTGGGCAGCAAAATCGTCGACAAGATGAGCACTGCGGCAAATGACAACGATAATCAGGACAAACATGCACAGAATCCTTTATTTATTCAACTACTACATAATGCAAACATTGCGTTTGTCGTTCTCCCGGAATTCGGGCATCGCTTCGCTGGGCACCTCAGAGCCTGCACTTAAAGCATCTAACTACGTAAATCCATGACTTCTTGTAGCACTGATTACGGTTCCAATCCAAGGATGCGGAGAGTTTAGCCTGGCAAAACGCACTCCGAACCTCATGGAGGAACTGTCGACCGTTTTAAGGACCATTAAGGGCCCATGCAGCTCAACGTCATAGCCGTTGGTGCTCAGAAATGCCCATCCAACGGCGATACCGTAATATCTTCAACCCTACTGCATTGTTGCATGTAACTTCAAGACTAAGAGTTTCCCTAATGGTCCTTAAGACGGTCAGTTCCTCATGAGGTTCGAAATGTGTTTCGAACTGCATGGGCACAACCTGACCCTTATCCCCTTCCGGCTGTGTTTCTGGACAATCGAGGTAATCGTTCTGGTCATAAATCCCTTATGGAATCTAGGGTTTTACGGCTCCGGGGAAGGAGAATCCAGCATATGAGAACATTCGGCGACAGTTGTGCTTGGTTGGGGCCCCGTAACGGGAGCAACATGGTATTTAAGGAGGGGGTAACAAACGCTTCCGAGGAGGCATCGAAGGGCTCCTATCGGAGGGTACAGCTAAGACCCAACGTTAACGAGGTGACAGGGTGATTCCTTTCTCGTCGCTTCAAGGGGTCCAGAAAGAGTGCCCAATAAGCCCATCCCAATACGGCAGTCCTGGTTAAGGTATTGCAAATTATGTCGAGGCCAAAGATGCTTGAACCGGATGCAGCAGCGGTCCAGGACTGTCCTATGAGCGATACATGGTGTATCCTGCGTATTGTTTACACAGTACACAGGTGACCCAAGCCTTTTGACAACTGCGGCATAAGCAAATTGTGGGCACTGCTGAGCGACTCGGGGGAATGGTGAGACTCTTTTGCAACGAAGTTCACAGTGTGAACTTCGCACAGGGAATTGTGAGGTTGGCTGTGCTTCCTCATGCTTAGGAGGCCTGCAAAGTGATAGTCGGCTCTTGGAAGAAGACATCTGGGCACACCCTCGTTCTAATCGTTTATGCGGATGAGGTATTCGCGTTATGCATCTCCCTTGGCCGCCAGTATTTGAGGCGTCAAGCTTGCTCATTCCGGGCGTCGAGCGTTTGGAGGCCAAATACAGGCAAATCTCTCGTACGGTACGTAGGCCCCGGCAAACGACTCTTCGAATGGTTGAACTGAGCTACCCGAACACGCCATGGGGGGCGCCCCGATTCTGCTACTTCGAAAATCGCGCTGGAGTACAGAATGGTTGCTTTGCCGATGTCCTCTCTTAAGCAGCTGCCTGGTGCGGGCTTGGCCGCGAATCTGCTGTTGAATCAGAGAATTTGGTGACGGACATGGGCCTTCAAGAGGCCAGGGCGATGCTACGCACCAAGGCCGCTCCAGCTCCCTTGACGACAACCCCAGGTGGGTGGTACCCCTGGCCCCCCTTAATACCCACACACCATCAGCAGCCCTACCATGCAAGGAAATGATCCAACTTCAAACCGGGTTAAACGATGGCGGGCCCCCAGGCGGATCCTTGAAGGCTTTATTCCAAGCAGCGAGCCCTAGTGGCATCTCAGCTCACTGCTTCGTGGAGTACGCGGTATCGCAGTGCTGTGCTGCCAAATGGCAGCATCATTGCGTAAGTAGAGGACCTAATACGATATCCCGGAATCCTACCGATGTATATGCCTGTGTTACATTTCCCCCGGGAATTGGGGTTGCCCATTGCACCTGAAGCGGGTTTTGCCCGATAAATCTTCCATTCCTTCATCCCACATAAGTCCTGCACAGATGATCCGAATTTGTTAGATCGAGACTGATAGCCGTACGTCATCCTGGCTGTGTACCTGATCCAAACCGCCTGGTCCTTAATCAATGGCTGCTCTCACGGCGTGTCATTAGGAAATATATTCGCTTACACATAACAACACGCGGGATGAGTCTCAATGCAGTGCATGAACTGTTAAAAGCCATGGCGCGACGGGGTTTCACCCTCCTCGATGTCGCTCTGTCGACGAGGTGTCTATGCACCTTTTGTATAAACAAGACCGACAAGTTTGCGGCTGGCGGACGACCACAGAGCAACAGAGGTTGCTAGCCGCACTTGAATCCCGTAATCCATCCCTGCATGCGTATGATGGGATCACATGACCACCGGCTGGTGTACTGGAGGAGCCGGGGCTCCACGCATGTGAACCGCAGCAGGCAGGAACACGAGCAGCTTAGCCATGTAAAGGTGCTTGCACAAATGCAGCAGCCTTCACGCCGCGAACTGGTCAATGCGCAGCTGGTCTGCGGCAGAGTGTTCACTAGCTCTCGATCTCTCCACAAATCCCATTACGGTGGTCAGGTGCTTCCCCACTGAGCCTGAAGCCGCCCGAGCAAGCCCCCTTCGAAAGGGGCTTACTAGTGCTTAATAACGACCCACAGCCGATGTGGGCGGGCTAGGGAGTAGTCAACCGCTGGCCACCTGACTCCTTGGCATTCACCCCACATGCACGCAGCATTCTGTCCCGAAGTTGTGTTGTTCGCTGTGACTGTACACTGTACGCCCTGCCACCACATGACTTGTGCATGAAGGATGCCTAATCAGGCATGTTCATGAACACGTCGTCACCTGCCTCCTGCTGCTGTACAGTGACACAGCAACATCCAACACGACGTATGCGTGGCTGAGCTTTTATGCATTAATGTGTATGCATGTGCGGCGGAGATGTGGCAGATGTAGCCAGCAGGCTGTACGGCAGGGCACATGGTCAGCCTTTGCTCCTGCTCTGGCACTCGTTGCTGCTGCTGCTGCTGCTGCTGCTGCTGCTGCTGCTGCTGGTCAATACGATACCGGTTCGCAATGCACAGGTACCCGTCCCGTTCAGACAAATGTCGCCCATAACACGTCAGGCGTACATCCTAAATAAGTAGGGTGCATCGTGGGGCAATTGAAAAGTTCCTGAGGGCGACGTCTTTCGTTTCAACTGGTGATAAATCTTGTAATCGTGTGTCACATGCCCTTGTGTTTCAGAAGCTCAGAACCGTAGCAAATTAATGTATCGTCAGACCGCGCACATAACACTGGCGGAGGCGTTTTGGCAGAGCTGCTATGAGGGTAGTTGACAGGTTATGTTGTCGCTGGCCGCTGGAAAGAGCTCTCGAGAAGCTGGCAGAGCGCCTTAGCGTGTATTCATGGACGATGTGTGTGCCGTACTGCACGACAGAGGGTACTCGTCGCATTCATGGTGTGACAATTGCACGATGCGGTTGTGACCGGTTCCCGTGTTGGCCAGTGGCGCAGTGCACAGCACGCCAAGGACTGCCAATGCTTTCATTCTGTGATTGTAATTGTCGCACCGCGGTTGTCCATCAATGCAGGTGGGCCGACCATTTCCCAGAACCCGCCAGCAGGTCTACTTGACGTCACGACGTGGATCCTGCGTGCAGCCTTAATTGCAGACATGAAAGATGTTCTCTCCTTGGGTTGAGATGAGGCAGCTCAGGCTTTGTCCTCTAGGAATGAGCGATATGTAGGGCGGTCTCAGTTTTCTGGGGATGCTTTCATTCTTTCGTCACCCCTAAGGCTGCCCGGACAGGGGCGGGGCTCTGTGGACCCCTGCCACATGTGTTTCGGGTTGTGTGCGGCCGACTCGTGTGTGCTGTCACTCGAAGACAGAAGTCCGTCCGGATTTGGGCTTGACGACCCTGACTGACTTACATAGAGATTTCAACCTCACGGCTAGGAGTTACTCTCCGTCCTTTTTACATATTGTAATATGCAGAAGGTAAGCTTTAAGTTGGCGTTAAAGATTAAACAAAGCTTTGTGCTGTGTTGCCAGGAAAGATGTAGGAAATGCGGAAAGGAGGTTGCCGTAACTGCCGGACAGACACTCTTCGCAAACTATGCCCACGCTGTCCACGTATCACATACATCGCATCCTTTCCTTTTCAGTTTTTTAAGATTGTGGCGAAAATTATAACTCATATGACATAGAATGGTCCATTGTGACTATAGAAGCCGGCCATCACTCACCACGCAACCCCCACCCGTGCTGCGTGTGCGGATTACGCCAGCGCATTGTTTTCATGGCCACAAATGCAATTGATACCTTACACGAGATCAGTATAAGCCCTAGTGAGGTAAAAATTATGTGCATTGGGCGTTTCGGTGTGAAAAAACGTTCTACGTGCACAGCATAAATTCTTTCACAAGGCCAGCTTACAGCTGCAGCACCTGGCAGTGATAGGAGCCAGATACGGCATGCTGCCGCACATAACGCCACAGGAGAGTGCCAGCAAACTTGTACGGCGGGTGCGTGTAGAGCGTAGGAAGCGAGTATGCTTGTTTGCAGATTTGGGAAAATCGATACAGAACCAAAGAACGAGTCGATTAAGTGTGACAGGGTACTTCGTGCACGCCCAAATCCGAACGGACTTCTGTCTTCGAGTGTGTGCCTAGTGTACTTAATTCCAATATGAAGGGGAAGGCTCTGGGTCGGGTGGTAGGGTACTCTGGACTGAAGTTCCAGCAGCGCTTACCCTGGCTTCAGTGGGATTTTACATTTTACTATCAGCTATTCCGCGTACCTGACCAAGCTGATTCATGCCTATCCATGACCTCCACGCCCAGCCATGCCGTACAAGCGCTGGGCCGTACAAGCGCTGGGCCATACAGGGGTCCGGGCCTAGGTGGTTGGTGATTGACAAGGGGTTTCTGCAGTTTGCAAGCTCCCCTTTTATGGCCTTCATCGGGGGACATGACCGCAGGCAGCTGCAGTGGCTAGGTTTCCCGTCAGGAGAGCTCGTCATAAAAGGGGCTCTGCTTGTTTGGGGCTTCCAGGTACATCTTCAGGACTTTCCTGGGCTATATAATGGTTGACTACAAGCAGCATTGGCTGTCCGAACTAAGCCACAGTGTAACATCCTTTATTCCTGAATCTCCGGATGATTCATCGGCGTTCACAGACCAAGACAGATGGACGAAGCATGGAAGGGCATGGGTTAATAAACCACAAATTCTGGTGAAACTAGGGCTCGTTTGGGGGACAAAAATGTAATTGTTGGAATGGCAGCACGCCATAGCTCAGCGGAATCCTGCGGCGGATGGCTTGAGAGGCCAGGTGAAGCCACTACGGCCGCCCCGGCGCATCTAAATCCTATAAGTACTGCGTTTTATATTGCTTACCTGTTCGTATGGTGTGGCGATGTCACGGTGTCGCCATGACGTGCCTCGCTTGGCACTTAATCATCCATGATTCCATGCTGATTTCCAGTAGCTATTAATAGCATGAAATACAAAAAATATTTCTCTTCAAAATGAGAGCATTCAAAATTATTGTTTGGTGCCTGTGATTTTGCATCCCGCTAAGTTCAACATGAGGACCTAGCTGGATGGTCATTTAGCCTTACAGTTTTCGCTTTAAACGCTTGATAGGAGACTTAAATTATACAATGAATAAAAACTTAAGCCATCCTGTACTCAATAACTCCTGACGCATTCCCGCGCAAGCACGGGCATTTCGGACGGAGAGTTGGATCACACTCTGCGCCAAAAGCTGTTCACCTTTTTGATTGTCAATTTTAGCTTTTACATCTTAGGCTGGCCTTGGAGCCTTTGGACTTGGCTGTGGGAAGCGTGTGCAACTTCATGAAATGCGCGCCGCTGGAGACTTGGCTCTTGTCACAAGTGAAAAACGCATTACCTTGGTGAAAAGGATGTGAGTTGAGGGGAACACGGCCGTCTTGCGTTTACTTCTCGTGTCTTTGGTGCACGCCCATACAGTCATTCACGTGTGATCCTACCTTTTGCGAACCAACTTTGTAATCCTGTAGAGTTGAGGAGCTACAATGCATTGCTGAGCTTACAGACGACAATGTGGACGTTGTTTCAGTGGTCGGACAGCTGGAGCGGGAGGCCTACAACTCTGCCTCGAACATGGTGAGCTAACAAAACCGCACTTGAGAAAATGTAAAAAGAAATCATATTTGGAATTGGGATATTTAACTCCACCACAGTGATTTTCGCAGGCCCAGTAGAAAGGTCTGGCACGCTTTACAGCCCATTAATCATTTGTGACTTCCCTTTCACAGCTTGTTATCAATGCAATCTAGGAAAAAGACGGCAGGCAAATGAGCCAGCAGGGTGGCTTCCTTTTCTTCGACGACCCCCCGACACCTGGAGAGGGAGAGGGCTTTCCCTCCTGGTACAAACCTTCAAAGATAATTACATATTTGTAACCTTTACGAAACGGAAATGATTCTACTGACGGCTTGCCTTGCGACTGTCCAACTCGCTTGGTGTTAACGGTACCTTGCCGAGTCTTTTCCCAAGTAAAAGAAATTCGATCATAGACACTCATAATAAATTTTGAGGACTGAGGAATAAACTTCCTGTCAATGGTTTTCGGAAAGTTGATGCCCTACCTGCAACGGTGATGACACTTTTGTCAGGTCGCGTCAAGAGACGGCCATGGCGCCGCAGTTCCCCCTCAGGACGCAAGCAGAGCCGCGTTGTCGGCCCTATCTAACAGGAAACGTCCCTCACCTATGCAACGGCTTGATACCGAGCGCATCTGCCTCAACTGCGAAGGCCCAAACCTGCAGAAACGTGACAGATGACCCTTTCCGCCGGGTTGATGCCTTAGGAAAGCTGCGGCGCAATTAGAGCGGTGAGGAGCGGAGAGACAGGGATGCAACCGTACAGCCCATGCTGATTGTGTTGATGAACGGGCATTGTCGTGCTACAGGGCGCAGAGCCTGTAGCGCACGGTTGCAGCTACGGTAGCGCAATCGGTTGTTACAAGAGGGTGCCTCCACTTCCCAGGTCCTTCCTTAGTCTCAGTCCGGCCCTCGTATCGCATCATCAGCGGGCGGTGCAGCTTAGAAATTTGCCGATGGCTGAATATCATGCCGGTGAAATCCACAGGCGCGATACACCTTTTTCCTATTTAGGGGGTTCGTTTCTGGTCCAAAACAAGAAATGATTTTCCAGACCAGGCGGATAAATTATTCTTTAACCGTGTTCCGCTGGGGTCTCCGAGCGCCTAGATTCCCTGATAACAATATAAGGTAACTCCGAAGCCGGGCGCCGGGCCTTATGTGGTTCCTTGGGACGAGAAACCTTTTGAGTATCATCCTTCGCCGCATCCCCATCCAACCAGAAATACTTTAATGCCCTTGTGGTTAGGGATCTTTCCAGAGATATGAGTTTCTTCGTTTCCCCGCCGGCGTGAGCCGGCGTTTGGCGGGACGGCGACGTTCTGGCCCAAGGAATGCGATTGTACGGCCGGACATGGGCCCATTCCCTTTTTCAGGGCCCAAACCCCCGGGATTATTGTAAATTAAAAAAATGAACTCCTAAATAAAAGCACAAATTTAAAATGGCCTCATTAAGCAACCGGTTTTTCACGGCGGGGCCTCCGCGCCGCCACACATATTCCTTTCGCTTATAAAGCACCCACCTCGCATCGCCCTGGGTTATCCCCGTGAATCAAAGGGCGAGCCCGTTAATCAGGTGATTCCGAGTTTGAGGAATGAGTACTTTCATAGGCACAGTGGCGGGTCGGAAACAGGTAAAGGCGCGGATGTTCTCCGTATCCCAACCATTATTGGTAACAACCGCACATATTTAGTGGCCAACAGAATTTGCCAGACAAAGCCAGGAAACAGCAGCATCTTCTTTCCCGAATTGAGTCAAACCACCGTCACCGCTCGCAGCACAGGCGGTCGTGAGGGGCACGTGTCGCACGTGCTTTTAGCGAACAACCCGAGCGAGGCAAACTGGCAAAAAACGTATGCACACAGCTTTCTTTTCATGCAAAAGTACAAACCATTACCACTATCAGCCATGTCGTACATATCTTTGCCATGGTGGTGGTGTAAGCCACTCCTGCCATTAGCTAATCTCTTGTTGCGTCGTTGCCCTGGTCGCATTGTGCTTGCCTCGCCGGTATTCACCCTCTCCTTTCCCCCCCAGGGCCAGTACTTCAGTGCGCTGGGCACACGCACCACCCGACTGCGAGTCCTGCTGCTTCAATCCGCTGCTCGTGCGGCAAGCGAGGCAGGGAACACCGCCGCCGCTGCCGCTGCTGCTGCCGCTGCCGCGGCGGCGGCGGCGGTAGCAGAAGAGGACGCAACCGCCGAACTGGATACGTGGGCGTCAGGTGGGGCAAGTGCGGGAGGCACCAGTGGCGGTGAGTCAACACTCGTGCCCACTCACGCGGTTGGGGGGCTCGAGGCAGGTTAGGGGTTAGGGGTGAGGTTCGGGATAAGGGGGTGACGCCAGGCGACCACCCTAGCACCGGATTACGTGACCTGCTTTCGGATTGCGGACCTTGTAAATGGAGTCGGACCGGGCCCAAGCATATGCATATGCAAATCTCGGTCCAGATTGAACGCATTCACATGCACATGCACATGCACATGCACATGCACATGCACATGCACATGCACACGCCTCAAAGCATGCGTGCCTTTCATCCCGACGGACGGGTTGCAAGTGCGAGGGCTGCGCTGCAATTGTGCCGCCCCGGATGCGAGTCTGCCGCCTCCTGCTCAGAGGAGATGAAGCTGTTGTGCCGCTGGAGGCTCCAGCAAAGGATGAGTCCAAGTTACACATGCGTGGGGCTATTTGTGGCTGCCCAGCTACATTCAGGGTTTTGTAGTCCCATTATTTCAACGTTCATCCATGTCTCATAGTCGCTCTGTCTTGCGGTTTGGGTGCAAAGTTGAGATAATGTCTGTCTTCGCTTTGGCGAGGGGAGGTACGGCTTCTGCTTGTGTAATGAGTACGGCACTGCTACTTTAGTAGCGATTCTCGCACAGTTTTATCGAAAGCGCAGTAAGAAAAGAGACGTTGATGCAATGGACCTCTCCCCTGGGCTCCACCTCAGAGGGGGAGCGGAAGTGTACATGCCCCTCTCCTGCCCCTCTCCTGCATGTCACCTCCAGCCAGGGTGGTTTTGCCCTCTTCCACGCATGACTGCTCAGGGGGGTATCTCCCTACCTGGACGGATATGCATACGCACGCACACGGCGACACGTGTGTAGCGGAGGTATAAGGCCCATGTGGTGTGAAGGGAATGAATTGCTTATCCCATCCCTCGCAATGTAAAGAGTACGAGAAACTGTACGTGGCTGTATGTGTTACGTGTGTATGCCGTCCATGGCGCTTGTGCTCGTCCAGTGGCGCTTGGGGCCGTACAGCGTCTGGTGCCGTACAGCGTCTGGTGCCCATTAAACAGGCTTGGTCGGTGCTGGCGGGTGGCGGAGGAATGGATTGACGGATGTGTGGGTGGATGGGCAAGCGGGCATGTGGGGTACGCCGGCCGGCACCTTCGTCCGAGTCCAAAAGTCTGTCGGCACAATATCGGGTCGCAGTGCGCGGTCTGCATCGGCTGACAGTCCTCTGGAACCCAATGGAACCCAATGGGATCCAGTGAGATCCACTGGAATCCACTGGAATTCCCGATTGGAGGATCCTTTCGGATCCAAGGGGATCCATGACGACGCTGAGATTCATGGATTAAGTGAATGGAGGTTACCTTGGGCAGCGCTGTTGTTGCAGTTGTGGGCTCCCTGTTTGCGTGTCTGTCTTTTCTCCCCGGGGTCCTCCCACCTTCCTTCCCCAGCTGCTGGACAGCTCCCACCCTCCCTCATCCTTCCTCCGCACCTTTCCCTCCTTCCCGCCCTCCCCTAATCTTGCGCCCTAGGGTCAGCAGGGCAACTCGCCCACGCCCCGTTGGGGGAGAACCCGCCACAACCCCATCAAGATGTCGCAGCACGGCGGCCGCAGCAACGCCCTCCACCAGAATGGGCATTGCTTTCACTCGGGCAGCAGCAGCAGCAGCAGGAAGCCATGCGGGCCCTTGAACAGCATTTCCATGAGCCACCTCCGCCTCCTTTTGCTGAGTCCTTACCTGGTGGTGGAAGTAATTCGGCTGCTGCAGATCACCAGGGCATGACGGCGACTACGACGGCAGGGGCGACGGCGGCGGCGGCGGTGGCGGCTGCAACGGCGGCGGTCACACCTGGCGGAGTACCCGGAACTGAACCCTCCTTGTTGCTGCTGCGGCACGCGCAACCGCAGGACTCGCACCAGGATTTACCTCGGGAGTTAGAACAGCAGGGGGGGGAGGTCGGAGCTGGGGACGAAGGGGAGAAGGAAGAGAAGGGGAGTCAGTCCACGGAGGGGTCCTGTACGGCAGCCCCAGGGACCGGGGCAGGTGTCGCCGTTCCAGGAGACGGCGGTGGCAGCAGTACAGGCGGCGGCGATGGCGGCGCCGGCGGAGGCACCATGGTCCAGCCAATGGACCCGTACCTACTGTCGTACATGTACGGCGGCATAGCCAGTAACGTCGGGAACAGGGCGGTAAGCGGCAGCTTGTATGTGCCGACCCCCACAGACGCCGCTCTAGAGGCCGCCGTCGGCGTCGGAGGGTTGCCGCTGGCGCCCCCCGCAGTCCCACCGGGATTGCATCTTCAGGTGTGCAGGGGAGTTGCAGCGGAGAAGCGATCCTGTGTGTGCGTGATGGACCCATTCCTCATACATGAATTCATTTTGTCAATGGACCCACCATCGCCCTAAACATATTGATAATATCCTTCATTGCTATGTGCTTTCAAGCGGGCGGGTGGACAGGCATGTGACAGGAAATCGAACTGTGAGACCAATTGATAGGCACCAGCACATTGCTCGCAGCAAGCGTGTGCATGCGTGTATCTGTGTGTGGGCAACCGGCGATTCGGGATCTGCTTGCGTGTAGACACACATGTATTTAGGAATGCACGTCGTCTCGCGGGTTACATTTCACATACCGGGCGATATTATTATTTCTGGTAGCTGCTTCCCGGCAATATTCTAAGGATGTGATGATTAGGGCGGCGAGGCCAGCACGGCGCTGTACGGGATGGGGGCCCAGAGGCGTCCCGTGGAAAGGAACCCGGCATTTAAGGGGACCCCTGGGAGATTGAAGCTGGGTTAGGCGGCACACGCATTAAGAGGGGACCTGTTACTTGTCACACAAGTATGTCGAGTCCTGGTAATCACGGCGGCTAGATGTTCCTACAATCGGCCACATGACTTATATGTACGACAGTGCTGCTGTTAAAAAGTCTGTTTCGTCAGCACATGTCCCGGTGTATCGCTCAAATGGGAAAATTGGCTCACACCCTTTAGGGACCGTATGGCGTTGCCTTGGGCGGAGGTGCGAATGGCGTCGGCAGCGGCGCTGGTGGCGCCGTCGAATGTACTGGCGGCGGCGGCGGCGGCGGTGCTGCCGACGGCGGCGGCGGCACCGCCGCTACGGCTGACCTCGGTCCGACAGCCGCTGTACTTGCCGCCGGCGGCGGTATAGTTTTTGTGTATGATAATATTCACCAGCTCATGTCGCCTGGCACCCGCCGTAGAAGCGGAGAAGGCAGTAGCAGCGGCAGCGGCAGCGTGTCGTACAAGCCGCTGCCGTTGCAGGCGCAACCATTGCAGCAGCAGCAGCCACAGCCGTGGCCAGGTCCTGCACAGCTGCTACCGTCGCCGCAGGGCACTGGCGATGGAGCCCGGGACGGTGCAGGTGCAGGTGAAGGCGAAGGCGAACACGGCAAGCATGCTGCCGTTGGCGGCAGCGACCGGGTGGGCGGGCCTGGGGGCATCGGCGCAACGCTTCACGACAGCTGTCTCAACCCGCAAGCTCTGGCAACAGCGCAGGCCTCGGCCCACACTCCGACACGGGCCATACACCCTCTGCATGAGTCTGCGATACCCGGTATCGGTGCGGCCGGCGGGGCAGGCAGCGACACTGACCCGCTTGTCGTACAGGTGGCGGCGGTGCCTGCAGTGAATACTTCCACTCCGGCCGCCGCGGGAGAGGGCGGTCAACAAGCTGTGGTGTCGCAGTCGCCTTTGCATTGTACGACGGGTACCGGCGCCATCAACCCAGGTGCAGGGCTCATGCCATCGTCACCGCAGTCGTCACCACAGCAATATCAGCAGCAGATGCAGAGGGACCTGACGGAGGGGGGATCCCGTCACAGCCCTCTTGCCATCCGCCCGCACCTCTACCTAAGGCCCCAGCAGGGCTCCGGTGGTGAGGCCGGCCTCGCCCTTGCCGCCGCCTCAGCTGGCGTCGTCACTGGCGCCGGCAGCAGCGCCCTCGGACGCCCAGATCTTAGGGTAGCGCCAGTCGCGCCCATTCTGCATACCGTGAGTTCTCCTGCTTATGTCCCGGCATGGCCCGAGCCGCCGCAGCAGCAACAGATACAGAACCAGCAGGAGCGGAATACAACGGCACTGGCCCAGATGACCAGCTCCAGTCCTGCCGGACCGGACTTCATGCAGCCCAGCGAACCCCGACGAACGCAATCGGCGCTTCAACCACAAATACCGATGCCGTTACGCAGCAGCGGTGGCGTCGGCGCTAGCAGCCGGCCCAGCGGCAGCCAGATGCCGTGGCCGCAGCCCGTATCCTCACAGGCGCAGTACACTTGGCTACGACCTGCATCAGACTCGCAAATCCTAGGACTGCCGCTTCAGCAGCGTCAGTGGCCAACTGGTTCCCAGCCGCTGCCGCAGCCATCACTGCTACTGCAACCGCTGCACGTGGGCGCTGTGAGCGGACCTGGACTGCGAGGGGCCGTACACCAGGTGCAGATTGAGGACCCCCAACTTGCGACTGCGGGACGGGGTTCGGCGACGGCGGCGGTCGCGGCCGCAGCGGCAGCTGTGGCGAGGGCGGCAACAGCGGCTGATGCACTGGGCGATGCCGACGATGTAGGATACGGCGCCGTCGGAAATGGCCAAGACGCCATGTCCCAAGCTGGGATGCTAGGAGGGGCTCTGGGAAGCTTCAGTAACAGTCCGTCCGGATGGCCGGCGGCGGTGGCGGCGGCAGTGGCTGGGCCGCCGCCGGCGCCGCAGCCTCCGCTGGCGGCTACGCTTGCTGACAACATGGAGGTGTCGGCGCTGCCACTGCCCTCAGTTGGCGGTATTAGCTCCGTATCTGCCATGATGCTGGATGCCTGCGGATGGGCGCCGGAGGTGGCACCGGCAGTAGGGCCGTCCGCACCCAGCGCAGATGGTACCATGCAGACGTCCTCCGACGAACTGGCATCGCTGGCAGGGACCCCGCCAGGTGCGGCGCGCAGGATGGGTTCGCCGTCGCCACTGCTGGCCCCTTCCTCAATTAGCAACGCCAAAACTCGGCGGCAGCGACAGCAGCAACAGCAGCAGGAGCAGCAACAGCAACAGCAGCAGCAGCAGCAACAGCAACAGCAACAGCAGCAGCAGCAACAGCAGCAACAGCAGCAGCAGCAGCAACAGCAGCAGCAACAGCAGCAGCAGCAGCAGCAACAGCAGCAGCAACAGCAGCAGCAACAGCAGCAGCAGCAGCAACAGCAACAGCAACAGCAGCAACAGCAGCAACAGCAGCAACAGCAGCAACAGCAACATGGCTTCGACCTTCAGCAGCAGCACCACATGCAGCTTTTGCAACAACAACAACAACAACAACAACAACAACAACAACAACAACACGGTTTCGATCTTCAGCCAACACCCCAACAACACGGTTTCGATCTTCAGCCAACACCCCAACAACACGGTTTCGATCTTCAGCAGCAGCACATGCAGTTTTTGCTACAACGGCAGCAGCAGGAGTCAAGTCGGGAGGAATGGAGACAGTGGCTCCTGCAATCGACACAACACCCTGCAGCAGGCGGCCTGGGGGTCCCGCGGGCTGCCTCGGGGCTTATTCGGTCTGCAAGTGCCGCCATCCCGCTTGATGTGGGTAGACTAATGCGTTTTCTAGCTACCTAGCGCACGATGTGCTGAGGCTGCAATCACGCCTTTATAACGCAAAGCCGATAGCTAGATGCTGCCATGCACGTATGTACGTGTGTGTGCTTAGAGATGGCTGGCAAGGCTTAAGAAGGTCTTGTCCCTTATAGGTCGAAAGGACAAGGTCAAGGATTTATGGCCTGCCCAAGGCAGTTGCGGTGCATGGGTGCAGCGACGCTGGGTGCTGAGTTCGGCGTCGCCCATGCAACCTCTTTCGTCCTGGCAGCCCGAGCCGTCAGCTTTGCGTTTCAGTAAACCGCTCTGCATTCCACCAAACCTCAGTTGGTTCATGTCACCGAAACCGGCCCACCCACCAACCCCCACTACTTCCGAAACCATTTTACCCTTTTCCGGGTCCCCTGTTTTCTTCCCCCTCCCTCTCAACCCCCTCATCCTCCCTCCTCCTCCCTCAACCCCTCAACCCCGTTACCCCTGTTGGACGTGTATGCGGTCTCCCTCGGCAGCCTCCGGAACACCGCCTCCAAATGGCTGGGCCCCTGCTCCGCCAGCAAACCGCTCACCCCTTGATGCTAACACCGCTGGCCCAGTCGTCGCATCAGCAGCGGCAGTGGCAGCACCTGCAGCAGCCTGATCAATTACGCCCCTTCACGTTTAGCCAGTTGGCGCCGCGGCCGCTCCAGCAGGACTTCGGGCAGTACTTATTGGCGTCGACCCGCGGCCTGCTGGGTCCTCCTGCCGTTACTGCATCTACGGCTGCTGTACGGCCGCTCCAGCAGATGCAGCTCATGGCGAGTCAGTCCCCGATGCCTGTGAGCCCAGAGCCGGTCCTTAGTGCAACCCAATTGCAGATGCAGATGCAGCAACAGCACCTGGAGCAGCAGCAGCAGCAGCAGCAGCAGCTGCATCAGCAGCAGCAGCTGCATCAGCGGTCAACCCCTTCCCAGGCGTGGCATGGCGTGCAGGACCAAATCATCCCCGCCAATGGAGTCCCATTGCAGCTGCTGCACAACTCTCAGCAGCAGCAGCAGCAGCAGCAGCAGCAGTTCCCACCGGCTGCCCTCCCTTCGCAACGCCCATCCGGCACCTACCCGGGACCCTCCCCCTCACAGGGCCGCCAGGTGCGAATACGCTGTCCGGCTAGTGGAGCAAAAGTGTGCTCGTAAGGCGATTTGGTCACGTTGCTGGTGCATGCTCTCTCTCTCTCTGTGTCTCTCTGTCTCTCTTTGCGAATGCGATGCACCTATAGGGATGTATGAATTATGAGTTGCAGTTCTTTAACACGTGTGGGAGGGGTTGGAGGAAGGCCGAGGAGGGGCGAGGAGGGGGGATATGCGGGGGAGCACCGTACTGTTAGGTGTATGCGGCTGCTGCAATGGCCGGTGCCTTGCCCGTGTCATCACCGCAGGCCAAGTCACCTCGGGGCAGCTGGGAGACCCGGTCGCCGGCGATGTCGATGCTTCGGCTGAGTCTCAACGGAGCGCTCGCTAGCGGCGGTGGTGGCGGCGAAAGTGGCGGTGGCGGTGGCCAGCCCGGCGCCGGCGCTACTGCCGCCCATGCAGGATTCAGCGGCAGCAGCACCACCACGTCCCAATCAGGGAGTGCCCCTCCGCAGTTCTCTGGCCAGCTCTTGCAACCGCAGCCGCAATCGCCAGCTGATGGGGCCCTTGGCATCGGGGCTGGCATGTACTCCGGTGCTGGCGGGCAGGCCTCCACCGCACTGAACATCGACCAGCTTGTTGTACAACAGGTGAGTGAGGCGCGAATCGAATAAAGTAGGAGGGGGTGATGGATGCCCTCTGGAGGCGGTACGCGGATTGGGGCCACGGGTACGTATTTGCGGTACACGAAAAGTCCCGTGGGTTGCCATGAAGGCGGCACACACCCACGTGTGTTAATGCGGCACTTGACACCCACGAGGCTCTCACAGCCCCATTCTGCCACACGAGGCTTCCTGTTGGATTCTGCTGGGTGAAACACAGTTTCCTTTGCAGCAGGTTTATGTTGACGATGTGTGCGAGTACGAACAACTAACTGTTTGGCAGCAACTGACTGGACTGACGGGGTTGAACTGACCGAAGGTCATGTCGTACAGTGGGACACGGGTCGCGCGCCGAGCCGAGCCAAAATCGTGTCGTGCTGGCCCACACTGATGCATCGTACTGACCCACACATCATGCTGACCCACGGGTCTCTGACACCTCCCGAGCCTGATCTGCTCGGCACGGACCCCGCATTGCCACAGGTCCAGGAGACCGCAGCTGCCATTGTGTCACGAAGCCAACGAATGAGCAGCAGCAGCCTAGCAACCGTGGGCCCTTCCAGCACCCCGCCACTCCTGACGTCACCCCAGCCCAGGCAGTCCCCATTACCACACCCAATTGCCACCCAACCGCTGCCTTCGGCAGCGACCACCGCTACCACTGCTAACATCACCACCACAACCGCCGCCGTGGGCGGCGCCATCAGCAGCCTTGGTTACGGCTCTCGGCCCACAACGCCCTACCTGGCATCTTCTCCTACCCCGGCGGCCTCATTCACTGGGGCGGCTGCTGCCTCGTTTGCCATCGGCTTGGAGGGCCCCACTGCTCCCCCTGCTGTCACCGCCGCGACCACAGCCAGCGCCGGCGGCGACTGGACCTCTGTCTCCATGGACCTGCAGCAAGGAACACCGCAACCGCCACTGCAGCGTCCGCAGTGGTTGCAGGCGGAAACACAGCTGCAAATCGGAGAGCAGCAGCGGCTTCGGCAGATGTCCCTGTCGCCGTCGCTGTCGCAGCTGCTGCCGCAGCCAGAGCCGCAGCACCCCCCGCCGCCGTCGTCGCCACATGCATCAATACAGCAGCAGCAGCAGCAGCAGCAGCTGATGCAGCTGCAAGGTGGCCCCGTCGATGCTGCAGACAGCCTGCCTCACATGACGGAGGCCTCGTTGTACGACAGCAGTATGGCAGATTCACTGCTCTTGACGTCCACCACGCAGCTGCAGCTGCAGCAGCAGTACCTGACAGGCGGCTGTAGCGGCAGCGGCAACCTAGGCTTCCAAGGTTCCTTACAGCAACTGCAGCAGCAGCAACTACAGCTGCAGCAAATGCAGCAGCAGCAAATGCAGCAGCAGCAAATGCAGCAGCAGCAAATGCAACAGCAGCAAATGCAGCAGCAGCAACTGCAGCAGCAGCAATTGCAGCAGCAGCAATTGCAGCAGCAGCAACTGCAGCAGCAGCAATTGCAGCAGCAGCAACTGCAGCAGCAGCAACTGCAGCAGCAGCAATTGCAGCAGCAGCAACTGCAGCAGCAGCAATTGCAGCAGCAGCAACTGCAGCAGCAGCAATTGCAGCAGCAGCAAATGCAGCAGCAGCAACTGCAGCAGCAGCAATTGCAGCAGCAGCAATTGCAGCAGCAGCAACTGCAGCAGCAGCAATTGCAGCAGCAGCAAATGCAGCAGCAGCAAATGCAGCAGCAGCATGAAGTGCAGGAGTTGCTCCCAAGCACTAGCCATGGCATCAGCGCTATGAGTGTCAGTGTTGCTGGCGGCAGCGGCGGCGGAGGCGGCTGCTCTGGCGCCATGTCAGTTCTCTTGCCTGGATGTCTCGGAGCGGGCAGTCCCATGGGTCACTATTTTCCTAGTACTTCATCATCGAGGATGGGCGGACTGAGGCTGACCGGGGTTTCCCAGGTTCCCGGGGCGGGGGCGGGGTCGGGCGGGGCTGCTGACCCCGCTGACTCAGACGGCTCCGGCCTCTGACGGCACTGCCACCGCCGTTAGTGAAACGGCGGCGGCAACGCCGGCGCTGTGGAAGGGCGGCACGTCACCGGTGGCGTGGGGTCCTCAATCCCCGGCGGCTGGTGAGTGGCAGTACAACCCTCTTGATGAGCCGTTGGACTCGCGGTCCGAACCAGGAAACGGGCAGCGGGAGCCCTAGGGACCGCAGCCGCCACTTGGGCGCGGTCGCATGCCGATGCGACATGCCGTTGGTACCGTTTGATGTGGTACCTACGGATGCAGCTGCTGGAAACAGCGGCGTGGTGTTGGTAGCCGCGGCAAGAATGCCCTTGCCAGTTTCGCAGGGGTCGTGGTTGCGGCTGCGCGTCGCCACCGCTGCCTTTTCGCCGTGGTTCGGCGATATTAATTTCTAGCGGAAATGTTCTTTCTTTTTGCTTTTTCTTCCGGAAGTTGCAGCGACAGCGATAACAGCGTTGGACCTACGGTGGTGGCTACAGTGGTGGAGTCGCCGGGGGCTTGGCAACCGCGGCGACGATGGGAACGCGGAGAGCGTGTCGCGACGGCTCCGAACGCCCATCATCACCAGGTTGGGCGGGGAATCCCTCTTACCAAATGCCGACACCGCGCGGCCCGTCGCACGCCAGCAATGCCGTCGCAAGCGGCTGTCAGCGCGGACAGGACACTGAGGGAGGAAATCGCTTACAACGCAGCAACCAGCATAATGAGAGAGAAAGTTATGTGTAAATGTCCATGCGTCTATCTGTCCCTCTGTCTTTTTGTAATCTGTCCATCTGTCTGTCATCTGTCATCTGTCCGCCTGCCTAGCTGCACGCGCCCACTTGTCTATCTGCCCATCCGGGTATCCACTTGTCTATCTATCCGCCTGCCAATCTGTCTGTCTGTTTAATCTGTCTTAATTAGGAGGGAACACCGTGAACAATGTCTGTACTTGTCCGTCTATCTATCTTATTTTCTATCTATCTATCTTTATATCTATGCATCTATCGATATACTTGTCTACCTGCTGTTCATGCGATCAAGGGGAAGAAGGGTTCATATGCACAGGAAAAAGGCGACAGCAGCTGAGGATTACATCGGCGGTACATCAAGTTATGGTCAGGAAGCCAGAGCTGTGGCCACCGGGCCGCACTAGGAAGAGCGGGAAGTTCTCCATGTATGCCTTCAAAGCATTTCATCATTACTTTTAGTGGGAACGGCCGAGTGCGGTGACAGTTAGTGGTTGGCGGTTGGCGGCGACCCCAGCGTAAGGCAGGGCGCCGGATGGCGGGAAAAGGGGGGAAAGGGCGAGAGCAAGGGGAGAGTCTGTTGGTCTCTTAGCAGCGGGGCCCCCAAAGCTCTGAAACACAACATGGCGGTGTAGACTCTAGGCCCGGACGCAAATACGCAATGACTAACTGTGCAGCTACAGCATTATTTGCAAGTAAATGCTCGAATAAGTTCAATCGATCTCACGAAGGGAAGGAGCGAAAAATCTCCGCATTCGCTCTCGTGATGATGTACCCTCGAAAGGGGAGTTTCATTGGTTGGGCGGGACTACCCTGCAGATAGATGCCGCAAATGCTTGCCGCATGTTGGACTGTCACGTCAGTTGTCTTAGGTACAGTTGCCTTCCTTACAGTGCGTTTTACTGTGCCTGTGTTTGTGCATGTGCATGTAGCATAGGCGATGCACCATAGGCCGGCGGTATTATGCGGTAGGTTGGACGGGCGCTTGCATGCGGCTGCCGCTGGAGCCAGCCACGCTAGGGTTGGCCACTACTAAGCACGCATATTCTGCAGACATTCACATCACTGCTTCGTCTCCGCGCGGCGTTTACACTCTCGGTGATGGGCAGTGCCAGAGCCGCACAGGGCTGCTCTTACGTTCGCGCTGCCACAGCGGATGCTGCCACTGCTGCCGGTTTACCATTAAGGCAGTACACGCAATATTCTCCTTGGGGACTGGGGCTGTACTGGCGCTGTACGGGAAGATCGCCGGTTTACGTTTATAAGCGGTTTACGTACGACTGTGATCCAAAGCAAGGGGGTTGCCTTGAGGTGCGGGAGCGCAGCAGTGTTAGTTGGTCGGTTGTTCCTTGCGGCGGTGTTTTCCACATGTGCAGTCAGCGTTGTTTGATGCAGCTCTCTTGTCAGTGTTTTCATCATGCATGTAGAAGGGAGGAGTTGTGGGGGATGAAGGGCAGACCGGGCGCATGGGCGGGGGCCTTATGGCGTCCCATGCCTTGTGGCATCTCATGACTTTGCATATCCCCACCTCCATTTCGCAACAATTACATACATGCATGAATGTCGCATTGCAGGCTTCCCAAACATAATCATGTATCAATTTGTCCTTCCCTATCGCAGTCTTAGTCGGGATTTCGGGGTAAAAAGGCACGGGGGTGGACCGGCCTGACTACTTAAGCACACGTGTTCGAATCCGACGGTGTGAGGCGCGTATGGGTTTGAGATTTTGTTACAATGAACACCGGACGCCACCTTTCATATGCAACGCATGCAAAGAACTCGAAACAGTCTTCCCCGCGGAATGCATTCTTGGCGGCAATAGCTGTTTTAGGATATGTACGGTAGGTTTCCATAACCTTGCCAGATACGGATGCATTAATCGCCTGTCCCCGTGAGATAGGAACTAGTTTGCGTTTGATTCGATTTGCTGCTAATCGAGTTGAGTGGCGTGCTGGTTGGCTTAGGGTTTGGATGTTTGTCAGGTCAGTTGATCCCTTGCCGCTTGAAGTCGGTTGAACGGGAGAAAGGCGGCAACACCCCTCTTTCCAAACTTGCCATCCACGCGATGTCACGCAAATGGGAAAATGGCGAGTAGATGTTATCGGGGTATTGGTGTCGTAGGTACGTAGATATCATCAGATCACACAGCAGAGAACAGGGCATCAGGTGCACATCCGATTGAGTGTGTATATGCATGTGTGCGTGTGTGTGTCAATCAAGGGCAAGGGTACATGTAGGTTTGCCACAACATGGTTGTCCTTGGTAGGTGCTGCGATATCACCCATACACCATCCATTGCATTTGCAGTGAACGTCCTTGCGGACATATATTTCCTATTATGGCCAAGTTCTTCGTAATAACGCATATTGACATGGCGGTAGGGGTGCCTCAAGGGCAAGGTGTGGCAGGTAGGGGGCGGGTAGGCCGGTGGTCCACGTACGCCTTTTACGACGGTAAGGGCGAACTGGGAGGAGTAAGGGTTTTGCGCGGCATAACGTATGGAAGGAACCGCGGTGCATAGTGCCCTCAAGAGTCTGGGGTTCGGGCGCTGTTGTGGCAACGTTGCGCTTTCCGACTCCGGCCAAAAGAGATGTGCTGTCTCTTCAGCCGCCTAATGAAGACTACGACCGTCCAATACCTGCCACTGCAGCTGTTCGGCAGGCCCTGCTTCCCGGTTCATCGTACCCAGTTACATCCCCCTTTGGGCTTTGATGCACTTGGGTGATCTTCCTGTGACGCGGGTGGGGCTATACATTTCAATTCGGTCATCATCATCATCGTCATCATCATCATCACCACCACCATCATCATCATCATCATCATCATCATCATCATCATCATCATCATCATCATCATCATCATCGTCGTCGACATAACCCACCACAATAACCTCATCAAATTTTTACCGCCGCCATGCTTCTGATTATTGTGATTGTATCGCGACAATCGCGCTGTAAACATTTTAGGTAAGGTAAATAAAGTGGGTTGGCCTTGGTGAGTGCTCATTAAGACGATGTACGGTTTGGGGCGGAGTTGGGGTGTCGCAGGCAACGTGTGTGACCGCGGCCTGTGTTTTTGTTTCCTCCGGCTCGACAGTGTGGCGGCCTCCTTCTCCGGACCCGCAACTTCATTCAGGCTCAGGATGCGTATTCATTAACCGTTCACAAGGAGTACAGAATCAAACATGCCGTACAGCGGCCCCTGCCATTTCCGTAACTTCTTTCGGAGTAGTTGCCAGGCGAGTGGGCCGCTTACTACGTACACTCGCCCATTGGGGCCACCATTGGGAGATCATTAGGGTTTTTACACATCCCCCTCATGGCATCGGGATTGAAGATTGTACCTAATAGGCAGAGTTTGCTTGCTAAGTTCCCTGGTCGACGAAGTTAGGGATTGAGCTGGGTCGATTTATTAATCGTCGGTTGTTTCGCTGGTCTTTCGTTTATATGTTGGTTGGTTGGTTTTTACATCCCGATAGAGTTTGGTGAGTCAGTCCGGGCCAAGCACATCATGTTGATGGAGGTCAACGCCTGGGGTGGTGAGCATGGCGTGAAAACGTTGTGAGCCAGTCACGGAAGGTGCATTACACGAAAGCTGTACGTGGGTCACCATGTCTGTTTTATGTTTGAGGACGTGTCATGTCAAGGCGGCCACTACCGGGTCCAGTCGGCTGGGTAGTCATGGGTATGAGCTATGGAGGTAATGTGTACGGTGATGTAAGGTGTCCTGTAGTACTTCAGGGTTTTGTTGCAGTGGTTATTTCACACGACGGCCAGCCGCCCTTCTCCTGGCTTGACGGATGGTGGCAATGGCGGCAGCAGCCGCATCAAACCTCGCCCGCGGCGTGCTTGCACGGGCCCAGGTGGCGGGTTCTAGCTGAATAGCCCGGCCCTTCTTGCCAAGCTGCGGAAGGCTAAAGGAGTAGGCGCGCGGGATAATTCCTGGTATTCTTGTCGTTGTTGTCCGTTTCTCATCCCGGCGACCCTTATACCAGAACATGAGGCGCGGGTACACGCCGAGGAACCGATTGCGTGTGTTAGATCTCGGCCTGAGCGTCGTGTGCTGCAGCAGTTGCTGATGGTGCACAACAATGCCGGATTAGCCTTGAATTCAGTTAGCCACTCGGGTACTCACTGCGTCGGCACCCAACGACCCTACCCAAACAAAGTCGCTCAGGTCATGCGCAAGATGAATGCCTCAAAGCCGCCCAGACCAAGACCAACCGCCACAGTCCCCCACTCGGACGGACAGATGCTCCAGCAGCGCCTGACAGCAGCTTTTCCCGGACAAGTACCACTCAGGATGGACCCGCACACTATCATCTGGACCGACGGTAGCTGTATTAAATCGGCTGAAAACAACGGCCAGAACAAGTTGGGTGCGGCTGCATACTGTGGACCCACCGGAAAAACGCTGCACATCGACCCAGCGGGCGAAGGATGTACGAATACCATTCAACGGGCAGAGCTGGCAGCAATACGCGTAGCTCTATCAACCCAAAGGGCGGTGAACATCACCTTAACAATTGCCACTGACTCGCAAGCCTCACTGGATCTAATCAAAAGAGCAGTAAACGATCCGAGTAAACTGCATATTTCCAAGCACAAAGCCTTACTAATGGACATCGCCGACCTACTGTACGAATGCGCCCAACAGAACATAACCGTTCACTTCCTGAAAGTGAAATCGCACACAGGCCTTGATGGTAATGACAAAGCTGACAAAGGAGCAACA